TAGAATATCCCAATCCGGTGCAGAGCCTAATTGGTTTGAAAAATAACCAGCCGCAGGTGGTGAGAAGGATCAAAGCCCTATGTAAGAACCGTCAAAGCCATTAGGGGTGCGATCTGAGGTCTGGACGATAAGGTGAAGAGGCACTTGGACTAATCTCCTTAATCAAGATACCTCTAAGCAAAACTGGATCATATGGGTTAGATAGTTTAAACTAGTGGTAGGCATTCTACACCCTATAGGTCCCAGCCTAGTGTCACATAGTGAAATCGTTAAGCGATAGGTTCCTGGGCGCTAGAGTAAGGGGGGGTGTGGAGGATAATCTGCATAGAGTATATAATGTACTGACTTGTACGAGTCCTTTACTGCGACTGTAAAATTGGTATAAGGAATTTATCAATAAAGAAGAAGCGGTTCCGCACTTTCACCTTAAAAAAAAAAAATAATAATAAAAATAAATTATTAACAAAATTACTTTAAATTCTATTATTTTTCAATAAATAAATACATACTAATTATTATTATTATTATTTAAATTTAAGAATTAAATTATTTGTTTATATTATTTTATTTGTAAATATACTAAATAATTTAATTTTTATATTGTATTTGATCGATATTTTAAAATGTTTATTAATTAAATAAAAAAACATTTCAGCATATAATATTTGATAAGATCTGATTTACAATTTCATAAACAAAATAATCAAATGATTCGACATATAATTGTCTGTCACATCTAGCTGTTGCTGTGTGGAATATGCAGTGTAGGCATTCATGAATGAAGTGAGGGCGTATTAATTGTTAAAAGCCATACAGTTAGATCGCGCGAAGAGGCTTTTTTATGCTCGCGATTAGTCCAATCGGTTACACATAGTATATAAGGATTCCATTTTACATTTAAATTTCTTAATTTAGATCCATGTACGCTAAACATGGTCACGTAATATATATTTCGTCTCACAAAATAATTTTTGAGGCGAGCAAATTTTTTCTCACGTAGTGTTCTCTTAACGTTATTTTTTTTAATTTTCGTACATGAACGCCCTCTTATCTTGTCAGAACATTATGCCTGCAAATAGTATGAATGAGGAAGAACGTAGATTGCTACTTAGTAATCTCGCCTCAGAGTTTAAAAAACCCTTTACAGGTCCAGGTTTCTCTTATCTAAAGGGTCGCATGGAAGAACAAACAGAGAAATTACCTTGGGACTATGAAAGTACGGTTAGGACTTTGTTACCTGAATGTAATAGTCTCTTGGATATGGGAGTTGGTGGGGGTGAATTCCTTGCTTCATTAATCCCACTTCCTAAGGATACTTGCGCGACTGAAGGATGGGCTCCCAATGTCGATATTGCAAGGAAACGATTAAGGCCTTTAGGAGTAACCGTTACAGGTAAGTCTCTATGTCTAGGATCGTAGTTTATAGATAATTACTGATTTTTATTATCAAATACCTTTATTAGCCATTACCGATAACGATGTTCGACTTCCTCTGGATGATAATAGATTTGATTTAATAATTAATCGCCACGAACCTTACATCGCCTATGAAATCAATCGACTCCTTAGTCAAGGTGGTTTATTTATAACGCAGCAGATTGGTGAAAAGGATAACGCGGAATTAAATAGACTCTTGGGTGCACCAGAACACCCTGGATACCGTGAATGGCATTGCGAACAGGCCTGTAACGAATTGACCGCCGCTGGATTAACTATACTAGAAAAGATGGAAGCGTTAATAGAGACAAAATTTTATGATGTTGGAGCAATCGTTTATTATCTGAAAGCAAATCCATGGCAGATTGAAGATTTTTCAGTGGAAAAATATGCGGATCAACTCGTTAACATACACCATTTAATTCAAAGAGACGGATATCTTCTAGTCAAAAGTCATCGGTTTTTCGTTGTCGCAAGGAAATGTTGAAAGTCAATCGTTGTCAATATCACATTTGTAAAGTTAGATATTTCTTTTATTACATTTTTCTTTCTATAGTATCAAACATTAATTTCTTCAAAAAACATTTTACTTTAGCATCTCATCAAAAATTCACATTTTCTTTGAGTTTATTACTGAATTCACGTACATAAATATAAAGCTATTTATCTACACACAAATTTAGAATTAAGTTGCTGCATACAATATATATGCGCATAGAACTTGTTGAATGCCTCACGCTCGCATTCATTGTACATATGTACGCATATCAATAATGATGGCTGATCTGTTCAGCTATTTAAGGATATTACATTTTAATTTTCCGTTAGTTCAGTTAATCTTTTTAATATACCTATTGCATTATGTAGTAGTACCTTCGTAAATGATCAACCACGTAACAATAACATAAAATTATCAATGCGTTATATATTATAATTCTTCAAAGATTGGTTTGGTCTTGAAAATAAAACAAATTGTACTGTTACATACATTACACATTCACTTGTGAAAGTGTACAACATATCTTTAAATACAAGAAAATATTCTCAATGCATTATAATGTATATTTTATTAATGAAATAATCAACCGACTTCTTTTATTCTTTTTGAAAAACAATTTGTGTACCAATATTGAAAAATCGTGTTACAAGTATATTTCCTTTTATTATTATTATTATTAAAATATCTTTGTACTGTAATAGTCATATGGGTAATTATTTTTGAAGGCGGACCGGAAATTTTCTGGCGTGATCCTAAAATTTATATTATATATGTATTGTT